CGGCCGTCTTGCCCACGCAGCCCGCGGGGCCCTGCCGCTTTGGCGCTCGCCCGGTGACCGGTCGTAAGGGATTTGCTTGATGAGGATTCTGTGCCGACTTCCCGCAACGTGTCTTCACCTGGCCCCGCTTCATCTGTACCTTTGGTTTCCAAGGCCTTTCCTCTCCTTGTCAGGCCCCCTCAACTGAGGGCGCTTCGTGTCTAGTCGGGAGCAGCGCCAGGCCCGGTCTTTGCCTTGTTCTTGTATTTTTCGCATGTTCTGGGGAATCTTTCTCGCCTCTCTCCTACGCTTCGGCCCGAAGGTCGCGCACGCTGCTTACGAGCTGGGGGGGTTGTAGTGATCCTGGTGTTTACACACTTCACAGCATGAAATCCACTCTGGATGCCACAGGTGGGCGTACCAGAAGAGCTTAGGTCCAAACAGGGACACCATATAGGGTCCTGTATGTATATCTGTGTGCTTGGCAGTAAGACGCAACAGAAGGCTGATGCTGCAGGCAAACCTGACTGTGCCCGCCTGCGGCCATCAGCCTCAAGTTCCTGTCAGCATTAGTCTTTTTGACTTCTGTAAATTTCATGCTGCCATGGCTTCCGCCGCTCTTTCACCGACAGGTGGGAGTGTGGGAATTTGCCACGCTCTGCCTGTGCTGTATCTGCCGGGTGGTGGCTCCTGCCCGCTACGCCTGGGCCTTATATTTTGACATTGCTCTGCCTGGCTGGTCTGTGGCAGCTCTGACCTGCTCTTTGCAGGCGGTCTAGTGAGGATGTCTGCCTGCCTCAGGTCGGGACCCGCCGCTTCACTGTGCTTCAGCTCTTTCAGGCCGCGTGGTTGACTTTGCGTGCTGCCGCCTTTACGCCTTCGGTCTCCCGCCTCTGCCTGGCTCTGTCCGGCACCACGGCCACTTCCTTTGTGGCTGCGGAAACTCCTGGCTCTGGACGAGGACGCCTTGTGGGCGGTCCTTTACGCCTGCCCGCTGGAGATCTCATGTGGCTGAAGAACAGTGCCCTGCGCAACCAGCTGCACGACGCCGCACTCACTGCCTGTTGCTGTGGCCCCTGTGCCTGCCCCTGCCACTGGCCCCCATTGTGCTGAACAGCAGGTGCCATGTTGCCAGCCGCTGGGTTCTCAACCGATCTCTGAGGACGAGGAGATGGAACAAGCGTGAGTTCATTCCCAACCTGCATCAACTTGGAACTCACGGGACTGCTGACTTGGGCCAAATCAAGCACAGACCAAAAAACAACAAATCAACCAAAATTGAAATTCATCAACTAGATTAAAACTCAACCTACCTTGAACTTAACGGGCAACCCTGGATGCAACCCCAGTGCTACAAGTTCTTGGAGGAGCTGCCGCCCGACGCCCTCCCAGTCGCTCCGCTGGCCTCGAAGCATCAGTACCATGTCTCTCGAGGCTACGATGCCACCAGGATCAGCATGACGGTGATGTTGAAGATAGTGAACCGCCCTCACAAGGATCAGTGGAGTACCTCATCCGAGCACGCCAGATTGGTGGACCAGCCCCCATCTTGGATTGTCTGAAAAGCCGTTGCCTGCCCCTGCTACCATTCCTGAGCCTGCTAATCCTGCTCCTGGTGGACGCGACTCTGGACCTGCTCCTGACCCTCTTCACGTGCCTCTGCTTGCAGATGAGGAGACTGACTATGAGGATGATGAGGAGGTTGATGTCTCCAGAATGCTCAGAAGAGCCCTGACATGGACAAGGACAATGATGCTTAACCGCAGCAAGGTAGGGGAGAACCGAGGTGCCCGCAACTGGGCCAACATGTCTGAGGGTACAGGCCCTGCCCTGAAGGCCGCCCATCCTCTGCCTTTCTGTGCACCTGCCGCATCAGCCCCGCTCGCCACCTGCAAGGTCGTCGGACCGTGCTGACGAGGTTGTGGATCCCTCTCATGGTCCTGGCCCTCATCCTGGTGCCTGCGCGCGCCTGAGATGGCTGCCTGGATGCTGCGGCAAAATCCGCCCACTGGGATGCAGCGCCTCCAGCTGAGAGGTTACTGCTCTTTCACCTGCCTGGATGGTTCCCCCAACTGCCTGGGTCTCTGCCTCCATCCCATCATGAAGCACGAGCGCTCTGGCCATAGCAGCCGCCGCTGCTTCGCTTGTGAGATGGGCTGACCTGCCCGCCTCTGCATCTGCGTCTGCATCTGCCTGTACTTCCTTCAGTCTGCCTGCCAAAAAAGGATACATGACTTCGGTGCGGTGGTTCTGCTTGCGTGGTTTTCTGCATTCTGCCAGGACCCTCGCAACTTCGCTGGACGCTGCCGCTGACACACCCTTTTGTGTTCGCGGTCACACTCTGCACCGGTGGCTCTGCCGCTGCACATAGCGTGCCTTCATTACCCTCTGCCTCTAGGGCTCTAGGATTTCTAGGCCTTTGGGTTTAGGTAGACCTCCTGCCCCACCTGTGTGGCCTTCTGCCCGCTGGCTTTGTGGCTCCCTGAACCCTGCGTATCGCCCGCCTAAGGCCTTTGCCCCGTGCACTGTTTCTTCTTCTGGTTTGGCTGTCCCGTAAAACGGACGCCTGAGTTCGCTTCTGCCACACCGCCTCATTTGGTGCCTGCCTGGTCTCTGGCATGCCAGCCTGCCATGCCACTCCTCACTAAGTCGTGCCTGCCTGCCAGTGTTGTCGTCACAGCCCCCTCCAGTACGTCCGCGCCTTTATCCATGGCCGCTTCTACCTGAGGTTGCGCTTTGCCTCTCATGTACAGCTGATGGAGCAAGCATCCACTCTGTTCTTGCAGACTGCCCCTTCGTCTAAGTAGCAGCCAGAATGTTGAGCAGCCGTCTGCGATCGCGGACACGCAGAAAAGACAGCCAACCGGCCAAAGCCCTCATCTGTCATATATTGGGCATTGTCGCGCAACAAGACAGCCTGAGGCACAGGCAGTTTGGCACCGGCAGGCGGAGTGGACACAGTAGGCTGACGAGGCCGACAGCCAGATGGGCAGGCAGAGCCAACGAGTCCACAGGACCAGACGATGGTACATGTGCAGGCGGTGGAGGTTAGGCCCCAGCAGAAGACGTGGGCAGCCCCCCAGTAGCAGAAGTGGCAGAGGCACCACCACCGGCTGAAACATGAGCAGGGGAAACTGATCAGGGTCAGGGAAAAAGGCGGCACTGAGTTCACAGGAGCAGGTGCCCCGGAACCGGCAGTGGCAGCATGGCGGCCCGAGCGAGAAGCAGGCGCACCCTGAGCAGCCATGGGATGCAAGGGGCAGCGCCAGGCAGAATTGAAACGCGCGGCATGAACGTGCAGGCTGGACAGCACAAGCACAGAGCAAGCAGATACGGCCATCATTTTACAGCCGTGGCAAGTCACCGGCGGGCAACAGGCGGCGAAGGCAGGCCACTCCTCCAGGAGGGACAGTGGTACAGGCGGACGCGCGCTTTGCAGCTGCAGCAGCGTGCCGTTGCTAGGTATGCCCCCTCTACCCTGTCGGCATACCTGGCTGTGTGGAAGTCCTGGTCTGCTTACTGTGAAACCCGGTCTGCTGTCCCTTGGGCTCCGCCTGAAGGCCTTCTGCCTGAGTGGTTGCTGTCAGTGGCCAACCCGTCTGGTCTGTAAGGACAATGTAATCTTTCCTGGCTTCCGCCAAGGAATTTCGACACGTTGCGGTTATACAAGTTGTACCAAAAAGATGCTCGAAGACTAGCATAACTTGGCCTGGCCATGCCATAGGACACAGCCTAATGTAGGTGGATGTAGGCCAGGTAGGATCATCAACCAGGTGCACCATCCCGGAGCGCCTAAGGATTCCAATCTTCCACAAGTATCAGGAGACAGCCTGGTGCAGGGTCAGGGCTGTGTTAATAAAGTGGTAGGCGGTCCTGATGACATGGTTCATTTTGTTGCGCCGTAGTTTTTCAAACGTCGGGTTGAAACCAATCTTGGTGCTACCAAACCCTGAAATGCAAACCCCAAAGTATCAGGAGACAGTTGGAAAGGGCCTTCTGGAGCACATTGAAAGTGAGACATCTTTCAGTTACAAGAAAGCCAGGAGCTCAGTCAGTTTGGGAGCCTGCATGATACGGGTTGACATAGGAGCCCGAGTAATTGGAAAACAATTTTGATATACATGTACATCTATGTGTATTTGAGGCAGATATGCTAGTGTAGAAAAGTCGTAGGTGGTATTCTTTCAGCTTTGCTACCGGCCGTGCCTGTCATAAGAGGATGTGCTGAAGCATTGTTCCGTTGAATGCTTCCAAAATAATGCGATCATTGCAGGAAGCCTGCAAAACAGATCCAGTAGGAATTGGTTTAACCCGTCAAACAAGTCCCGGACCCCTCCCATGCTGTTTATGAACAGGGCTCCGTGCCATCCTTGTATTGCTGACATAGTCGCTTGGTATCTCTGCCTTCCTCAGTCCTGCTCTCGGAGTTTCGAAGCCAGACTGACTGCTGGTTGGCGTGGTTAAAACTGTTGGGAGTAGACCGTTTGAACTCCTTCATGTATTGGAAGCTACCGTGCTTCCAGCTGTAGTCTGGGGGGGATCACGCCCATAAATTCACAATCAAGTAGCATGAGGACCCCAAAAAGGGCCCGACATCCGGCTACTCGTCTGACAGAGTGCCTCTGACTGGCCTTGGCATGCGTACTTCTTTGCACTGCCGCAGCAGCATCCAGGTCATGATGTGGCAAGCAATGGCTCCGGAGGACTGCCGCGCCAAGATTCTGAACAAAGCAATGGTTGGCCTGGGAACTGCCGAAGATCAGCTGATCCGAGTCATTTGCCAGCTGAATTTTGGCGAACGAAGAGAGGTCATAGAAGCCTACCAGCGGATGTATGACAGAGACTTGTCTGTCTGGAATTCATGCCCTCAAGCATTTTGATGTCTCTCACAGTTTCTACAAAAGGGGCTGAACAGATCCGCATTCCTGCAAGGCTTCTCTGCATCCTAAGTCAAAAAAGGAAACTTGATCGATCACATCAAGTCCGAGACTTCTGGGGATTTCCAAAAGTCTTTGCTCGTGATGTTGGAGGCTGAGAGCCCTTACCGTCAAGGGTATGTTTCAGATCATAGTGCATGCGATCGAATATCCAAGTAGGCCTTCCATCGCAAGTCTTATACTGGGCCGGGGTTTCCGGCGTCTGGTGTATTAAACTCACATCCCCAGTCGCAGCAATGGCTTAGTTCACCCAGCAACTTCCTTTCCAAGAAATCTTTGGCAGTTGTACTGTGGTGAGGAAAGCATGTTGTGTCGTTGGGCTAGGAGCTGTCTTGTTTGAGGGGAAGAGGTCAAGTGCAAGTTGCTGTTTAGCCTGAGCTTTCATGCAGGGGTTCCATTCCCAGGGGGCCCATTGAAAGGCATATGTCAAATCATGCTGTGATTCATCATTCCGCTTCCCCTATATTCCTTAAGGGATTTAAAGTGGTGAAGGCCGAAGAGGCACCCTTCGACTTGGAAGCAGACTGCGCTGCTATGAAGGAGGCCATTAGCGTCAGATTTCTTTTCCGATGATGTGTGAAAGCCATGGTATAATCCTGTTGCTGTTATATTTTTTAAGGCATGAATAATGTGTGGGTGCCTTGGGAGCAATATGCAGCCCGCAAGTGTAGGCAAATGGCTGCGGATCACCTTAAACTTTGCTCAAACCGTTGAGCAGTCGAGGCCATGGAAGGTTGGGGAACCGACGAAACGACACTGACGACGATGATTTGCAGCAAGACGCGCCTCGGACTGCAAGAAACTCTAATCTCAGGTATGTTCCTTCATGAAGTTTTCTTCTTCTGGAGTCATTCTGGAGTGCTCCATCCCCTGGTTGCAAGCTCTTGAAGCTTGAGCAGAGTCCTAAAAGAGGTCGAAACAGATGGAGGATGTAAACGCAAAGTTCAAGGAGCTCTACGACAGGCATGTTGTTTCATGTGCAGCAATGTGCAGCCATAGCTGGAGCACAAGTGCAAACCTTGCGTGACTCCGTGAGGGACTTGCTGGAATGGGTCAAGAGTGAAACCAGTGGCTACTACAAAGACACGTTGCCAGTCTGCATGTTTTTCTCAGAAGACCATATGAAATGTGAATGACGTAAGAGTTAATTACGTCTAATGGAAGGGAGCCTTTCCAGTGTTTTTCTTGAGCTCAGACATGGTGGCTTCAATAGGTTATGCCAGAAACATCTGGCACGCATGAGGGCACTGACAATCCCATGCTGCGCAAGTAAAATCTCGTACGACGGTAAGAGTCCTATCATGCTTAGGGCCTATTCCTTCAGGGCCTTCAGTGCAAAGAGCGTGTTTTGTTGAGGTTGGTCGGCTGCATCCGCCACCCCATGAAGCAGCTGGCCCATTCCGTGAGAGACTGCATGGCCGGATGGGGCACGGATGATGAGGGACTGATCACTTGCCTAGTTCATCTGGAAGACTTCAAGAAGGCGGCTGCTATGTCATGATATCACAATACCCCTCTGCTCTGACACGGGCACTTTCTCCTTTGTGTGATTTTCTCAGGCCGCGCTCATCAGGGAGTACAAGGCCGAGTTTGGGCGTGACATCTTCGCCGACATCGAGGCTGACACCAGCGGCGACTACCAGAAGGCGTTATGCGACCTGGTCAAGCCAGCTCCGCAGGTTTGGGCAGAGTCGCTGACCGGTGCCATGAAGGGCATGGGGACCGCGGATGCGCTGCTGATCAACTTCATCGTTCTGGCCAAGGATGAAATGCAGGAGGTTAGGAAGCACTTCTACCAGCAGAATGGGGAGCTGCTGGAAGATTGGATCGAGTCTGAAACTACCGGCGATTACATGAAAACCCTCCTCATGCTGGCCGGAAGAAAGAGTGAGGAGATCTCCATCCTTACCTTGAGCCATGCTTAATAAGAAAAATCTGAAGAAACACTGCACAGCCTGAAGGCAACAACTTTCCGCCGTCCACAGCAGCACGCGCGCAGCACGACGACCTTCCCAAGAAAAGCGGATCGAAGCACAGCACCCTGGCAACAGCACAATTCCTTGCACCACTTCCTGCGGCGCCTCCGGTCAACTCACGTACGAGCCGGGGTGTTTTTCGAAGCACAAGGAGGCGTGCAGTGGTGAGAAGCGCAACGTCAGGCTGAGGAATTTCCTTATCTTCTTATCGCAAGAGAGTTGATGCAGTGTCACTGTAGGGTAATACAGGGGAGATTGACAACATTGCTGCAGTGCCACGCGTCTGGGATTGCTGACAGGAGACTCTCAGCATTGCCCCGGTTTACTGGGCTCAGCGTTGCAGGGATGCATTGTTCAACGTGCAGGGCTCAGTCCATCTCCACTTTAGAGGACTACATTTGCAGTGGTTTTTCTGCTCAGATTTGCATGGGCCAAGGTTGACACACTCAAGGAGCTCTTGGTATCAATGCCAGCAACGGCCATCAAGCGACACACGCAGCTCTATGAAAAAGTTTATGGCAAATCCTTGAAGGATGAGGCTGCGGGAGGTTTCGCAAGGAAGGAATCCAAGTAACCACAGGTCACCTTTCGGATTGTAGCTCTTACGTGCAGCATTCTTGACCTAATCCTATCTGGTAACCCTACTCTTTCGATTTAGGATCTGATATTGGCAGTGCAGGCAGAGTTTGGTAGGTCTAAATTTGAATCATTACGGGTCCCTCTAGATGATAGAGAGGGACACGAGTTCGAGAAACCCACTTTTGATGCCTGAGGGCGGCAACCGGAGCATGAAGATTCGACCGAATGACGAGAAAAGTTTGCAAATGGTTTCAGACATGACCTGGAACAGTAGGCGCTTCCTGCGTGTTGGTAACAGCTAACACCAGAGTCAGAGCCTCAGCATGTGGAGGTGGAGAAGAAATCCAACGAGAAGGGCACATTCTTCTTTTTTACAAACTGGTGGAAGCATGCGATGACGTCACTTCTGCACATGCCAGTGGAATTGTACGTGCAATGCTGAGTTTCTGCATTGAAGTAGTTGACATTGCATCATCCTCTGTTTTGTTACAGCAGTTGTCTGAATTTGCCATCGTTTCATTACTGCTGGCTTTTTGACATGCGAGGTCAAAGGTCTTTGGGACGCAATGCATGGCTGGGGCACTGATGAGTACACCCTCACTGGCCTGGCACCCTGACTGCAAACCTGGAGATACTCCATTCAGGACACCTTATGATTCATGATGTTCCCTCTTTGCACGGCATGTTGTCTGATCTCATCTGAAGAATGACGGGTCTGTGGATTGGCTAGGCAGGTTTGCAGTCCTTGCTTCTACATGTAGTCTAGATCTGAAGCCCTGAGCTCTGGGAGGTGTGCACACTGCCTGAAAACATGTATGACGAGATCCATGGCCTGTACCAGAAGACATATGAGAGGCCAGGTTGAAGAGATCGACCGTTTCTCCAGAAAACCCGACGCTCGGGAGTTCGAATCAAAGGTTCCGTTGCCCTTGCCCCTGTCTTCAAGTAATGGTCCCACACCCATTTTTTTTGCTTCACCCAATTCAAGTGGTGGTTTGTGGAGACATGTCTTTACTGTTCTGGAATTGTTGTACTGCAGCCAGTGTTGAAGAGTGCAAAATGCCAGAATTTCCATTTTCTATTTGCCTGGATGTATGCATCAGATTAGCAAAAAAAGCTCACGACAACAAACATGAAGCCAACAGTAGGACAACCATTTGGGCTCCTAGAGATTATGCCAGACAGTTTGAGTTGTCATATGATTGCGGTGATGTGCCTGAATCAACAGTGTTGGGGCTTTTTGGCTTTTGCCTCAAATTCATATTCCATCATATTCCGTTGCAGGAAGCTGGTAAATCATATCGAGTCTGAGACCTCCTTCAACTACAAGAAGGTGTTGAAGTTCCAGGCCAGCCTGTTTCCCTTGTATGAGTGCTGATTTCCAAAGCACGATCTTTCCATATACTATGTCCTGTCACATACCCAAAACGAAGCAGCTGTCCCAGCAGACGGACCCTATAGTGGGGACAAGGTTTTCAGCTTCTTACCTTCTGCAGCTTTTCCTGTCCTGATAGTTTCTTGTGCTGATGCTACGCAGATGGTTGGCAGATCCGAAATTGAAGCGTTTGTTGCTACTAGTAGCCTCGCCTGCCCGCGGAGGAGGTCTCGCCAGGCCCCTTCGCTGAGCCCTGAGCTTTCCTGCACCGCTGTTCAGTCGGCCTTCGCTTGGGTCCGTCAAGCCACTGCAGCCTCCTTCTTCGTCCCCTCCCTTGCTCGTTGTCTCCGCACTGGCCTGCATGTCTTCCCGCTGTCATGCATCCCTCCTGTCGGCCTTCGCTTGGGTCTGTCAAGCCACTGCAGCCTCCTTTGGACAGTTACTGCCTGCTGTTTTAGCTCGGCCTTGTACTCTAGTTTGAGACTGCGGCCATGATGGTCCACTGTGATTTGTCTGGGTCAGACTCCTCTGTTTTCTTAGTTATAGTTCTGAGGGTACCAGCCTCAACGAAAGCGGATTGAAAGGCCATGCCCTGGCCAGAGAGTCGTGCCACTGCCCTGCATGGCGCAATTTGGATCTGAACGTTAAATGGCTTTTCGGGGCATCAAGCTTGAAGCTGGGTTTGGGGCTGTGTTTCTGCAATCATTGGTTCTTGTTGCGGGTTCTTGCAGCATCTGCTTTGGAGGGTTTTCTGGGCTCCTTCATCGTGACGATCAGGCTTTTAATCAAAGTGCCTACTTCGCATATTCTCTGATCACTGATACCTGAATGTATTACAAATATCCTTAAGCCCTCACCTTGAACTCCTGAACCCGAAGCCTACACCCTCCAAACCAAAAAACAACAACCTAAACCCTGAAACGCTTAAAAGCTTACATCCAAGGCAATGGCTGGCTGGGGCACCTCAGAGGATCAGTTGGTGCGGATCATCATTTGCTCGACGTTCAAGGCGGGGTTTCAGGCCTAAGGTGTTGGAGCAATCAATGGACCGTCACCACACTCATTTTTTCATGCTGTTCTTGCATACTTCGTCCTGGCTCATTTCTGAGAGGATCCTGACACTTTACCACTGGGTCCTATTGGGAGTTTAGTTGCATGTTCAAAGACAAAGAATACGAAATTTGCAAATGATGGAGGATAACATTATTGATTAAACCATGCTCCGACAGGGATTCAGAATTTCCAGCGTGAACTGCGCTTTCGTCGTTTGCAGTATTCTTGGCGGCGCCTCGCTAATGCCACCCTGTGCCATAGGAGCGGGAAACCATCAAGGCGGCATATCAGAAGATGCCGCCTGCTATCACCTGGCTAGGCTTCGGGCTCTGTTAGAGGCTTCTGGATGATGAGGTTCGTAGAAGCTCCAGAAGCACTATGCCAATTCTCGGCGGGTAGGGGTCAGGCAGGCATGGAGGTGAACTGCCAGGGTGATGTTTAATGTTCTTTTCGAGTTTAAGGTCATGACTTGCATGACTTAATGTGCGGACTGTGCAGTTGTTCATCACGAGCATCACGTTGTATCACTACTCCGTGATTCATTATCACATAGAAGCACGATGCGCTTGGTTTTGAGGCCATATATTGATCGGTAAGTCTCCATGCTTTGGCGTTGTAGGAAGCCATCCACTTATGCAGGGTAGGGTATTAAGTAGTTTTCAATATTTTCTGGGTTCTATTTTTCGTACTCTTTGGATGTTGAGTTGTCTATCGCCTTGAGGAGAAAGAAGGAAAGAAGGAAGAACGAACGAAAGAAATAAGGAAAGAGAGAAACAAAGACAGAAAGAAAGAACGATAAGAAGGGCAGTTATTTAGGTATGGTGGATGTTTCTGTTGCTGTCTCTTAGGAGGGCACGAGCATGGATATCCGTTGAATCCGCAGCCTGGGAAACCGGGGTGTGCAGAGCTCTTCCCTTGGGAGCTGGAAGTAATAGGCTGCTGAGAATGGCATGAGCGCAATCGCAGGGGCCTGATGGTCGCCGCCTGGGGAGTTGTATACTTGTCCGTTTTGCTTTGTGTGTTTGGTGTTAAATGCGTTCAATTGGCTGGGAAGGGCCCCATTTAAACGTGAACATGTCCTGTTGTACTATGCTACTACATTCCTTTCACATGCGCATGTTCTCGGTCTTGAGCTTGTGCTGAATCCATGGGTAGCAGCGATGGGGGCGGTGACCGGGTCACTAGGGCCAATGCCCCCGGATAAGCCATCAGGCCTGCAAGGAAAGAAAGAACGATAAAAAGGAGAGGGAAGTGCAAATAAAGCGAAGAAGAAAGGAAACATCAAGAGCAACTAAAAATTGAACAGGCAGAGCCTTGTCCCATCATCGTGTGGGCAGAGGGTGGGCCGTAAAGAATGTCGTTCCAAAGCTCGCCCGGCAGCATGTTAGCCAATCATTGTGTTTGCAAATGGTGGGTTTTCGTCCAAGCACCAAACCAAACAAATCTAAAACAAGAACCCCACACCATGGGGACAGCATACCCTGACAGCCTTTGAAAGCACCACGCCAAAACCAACATCGAAACTAAAACCAACAACAATACGGGACAAGACCTGGCTCCGCACTTCTGCATATACCGCTTGCATAATACCTTGTTGTTTGCCTTTGCGTGCTCAGGTTCAAGAGGGACCTGATAGAGCACATTGAGTCCGAGTGTAGTGGCAACTTGAAGAGCATTCTGGTCGCCGTGCTCAAGTGCACCCACCCCAAGGCATCAGGTGACCGAAATCAAGTTGAGATCGTACAGTTTTATGATTGTTTTTGGAAGATTTTTTTTGGTCAAGGTGGTCAAAGGTTTCAGGATTTAGACTCACGGCAAGGCCTCTGTTGACTATGAAAAGGATTGCGAAAGCCTCAAGAAGGCAATGGATGGAGCCAGGACCAATGAGAAGGTGGGATTCTCGTCAAAGAGCACATAGCTACATAGGGAAAAAGGCTTGTTATATTCCTTTTGCAATATTTTGAGCCATTAGCCGCATTAGCCCTGAGAAGGCTATCATTCAAATCGTCGCAGGCAAGACACCCCAACAGATCGAAACCCTCAAGGGCAAGTTTGAAGAAATGTATCTGCATCCTTGAGAAGCAAGGCTTTTGGTACGACGGATTTAGGAATCTCAAGACTTCATGAATCAAAGCCATTCCTTGTACATGGTTTTGGTATGTATGACCCAGGTATGGAGAGGATCTCTACGCTAGAATAGATGATGAAACCTGGGACTGGGGAATGAGCGTGCCTCCAGGATCCCCACCAGCAGACTTTTATTCATTGCTGTTTGGAGTGTCCTCGACAAAAGAACGTGCCAATGGTCTAGACCTTTTGTTGGTCACCTGGAATCCCAGGTTTATGACGCCCAACTTCCGGGCTGCAATGCTTGGTCTGATGAGGTGACAGGGTTTTCTGCAAAGTCTGCGATTTGCTTGGGTCGTTCTTGTGGGCCGAGGGCGAAAACTATTTATAGTTTTTGTGAGCTATTTGGGATTTCTTCTCTCGTGCCTGCGGACCGCATACTTGGATTCCTAGACTCTGAATTTGGAGATGCAGCAAGGTCGCCATCAGAGCGTCTTGCGTGTGCCGTCCGGGATTGCATGGCTGGCTGGGGCACAGATGATACCGGCCTCATTACCCTACTGGTGCATCTGTCGGAGCGACATCGTCGTGATTTGGTGGATAAGTATAGGTTCGGGACCGGACATGAAACCTCCATTCCAAACAGCTGTAAAGAAATCTTCATGTCTGTAAGTTGGCCCTTAGCCAGGGAGATCAAGAATGGTGGAGACATCTACGAGGCTATCGAAGGCGATACTAGCGGTGACTACAAACACGCTCTGCTGGCGCTTGTGAAGCCGCCTCCCAAGGTCTCGGGCCCTCGGGTTCAGGTTTAGTGCACGTAGCCATCTAACCGTAAACAGCCAGCAAGCTTCGGGTTCATTGCCATCCCTCGCTTTCCTGTGCTATCAGCGACCACAAAATACACTTTGGGATGGCTTGGGTTGAGTAGCTCAGGTTGAGACCTGTAAGCAACAACAGAAGGAGTAGTAGACAGTGACGGTTACATACAGTTGCCATTTTTCACCTGCAACCTAGGTCTAAGCGGTGAAGCGTTTTACAACTTGCCCACTTGTTGAGTTTTCCTACTTCCAAATCCCAAACTCCTAGAACAGTCATTGAAGTGTTGTTAAAGGTCTGGGCCGAAGCAATTTTGTCCTCGATGAAGGGCCTGGGAACATCTGACAACCTTTTGATCAACTGGATGTGCATCGCAAAAGAGCGCATGGACGAGGCATGGAGTTTCTGCAGCTTCCGGGGTCTAGATGGAGCCCTGGAACCCTGATTCAGGGATTTATAGGCAAAGTTTAAGCATGGGATGCTTCGGGTTTTCTGGCAATGAGCAGTGTATTGAGGAGCAACCCGCATCTTAGCCCTTAGTCTGAGCTCCGAAGCCATACGCCCTAGGCTAGCTGTCCCGTCAAGTGACGTTGATAAACCTCGTTCTTCTCCAGGTCAGAGCGTATTTCCAGGAGCTTGGTGCTGGTGACCTACCGGCCTGGATTGCCAGTGAATGTGGCGACAGCGACTACAAGGAAGCTGCGTCGCAAGAGCACATGATTTGAGTCTGCCGGTATTCTTATTGTTGGGCTTATCACTTATCAATCTTTTCATTCTGATGGTTGTTGTTCGTGTTAGCATGTTCATTATCTCCTCTAGGTTCTGAGCAACCCATCAACTTGAATTATGATAACTTGGAGGCAACGGTTTCTTTGCATAAGTGCTGTCGTCCCGTTCGACCGCTTTCGAGATATACCTTGTGTTTGGATATCTGGTGTATACATCCGTTCACCTGAGACTACTGACAGTAATGAACAAGTAAGGCTTCAGGAGCTTTATGATTGGCTTAACATACACACAATCATCTAGTCTATACAGTCCGGAAGCACGAACGAGCATGGAGCAGTAAAAGGTGCAGGCAAAGCATACGAGGGCATGAACCCTGAAATTTGCTTGTTTTAAGAGGCACGAGAATGCACAGGCCTTCAAGTTGAATAGTTTTCTCTCACACTTTCAGGTACTTAATGGACGTGCGCAGAGGATTTGTTTCAGGAGTCATAAGCTGTGTAAACGGCAGCTCAATCCAGTATGGGCAAGATTCAACACAAGAATGGCCCAACTTCCATTGATGGAGGTGTGAGGCGCTACAGAAATAGCGTTCAACATGAGCGATGGGAAGGAAGCCGCCAAAGCCTCGTATAAGAGGTAGAATAGAAGGAGGACGGCAAGAAATTCGAGGGGTCAGTTATGTGATGTGAAACACAGACGCACTGCGGGTCCAGCAGCCAGGCAGGCTGCATTGGCTGACGCGGGGTTTCACAAGAAAAGAGGGGGGGAGTCTTAGATCAGCTGAACGATCAGGACAAGAGAGCTCCTAGGTTTTATGCACGAGAACAGCTATGATGCTGAAGATAAAGTGTATGAGTAAACCGTAGACCACATAGGTCAAGGACGGCCTCGTATCTAATGTTTATGTAACATATACATGGTGGCAGGTATGATGCAAACAGGAATTGCAACCAGCGTCTGTGCAACATGCCATCAACAAAATAGTGTGACGAAGTTTGGCAATCCACCTTCTCTCAAATGTTACACGTCGAACGCAAGAAGAACATCCCGGGGAAGCACAAGCTGCAGAATTGGAAATTGCGTAAAACAAGGGGCGGATATCGGAGATGCAAGAAATGGCACGGTAACCATCACGTAAAGCCATGTTTGCACGTTGTGCCTGGAGCAACTCGCAGATGGAACTTTGTCATCTTCATCAAGTAACTTCAAGAGCAAGGAGAACTACCAGTTTTAGATGGTGCAGCAACAACACCAGATGTCAAGCAAGATAGATATATCAGAAGCAGAACAAAGCTTCAACGCGCATGGAAAGTATGTGAGAAGGTGTTATAGAGCGCTGCATCGATCTTCCAGAACTAAACTGTTCTGGGGTTCTCTGAATTGAGTTCAAGGACACTCTCATTCGGCTGGCCAATCGACGCTGCGAGCGCTTCGCTGGTCAAGAGGTCGGTCTTAGCATTGCGCCGCCGCTGACCAAAGAGGATGCCGCCTGGGGCTCGGTAACGTACGAGATGTTTGGATTGAGGGCTTAAAACATCAGAGATCCCCGAGTCTTCCAAAAAGCAAAATGTCATGTGTGTATGGATGGTAGCATGAAATTCTTTTGAATCCTGTCTCAACTGAATTGGTTCATGTGGCCAACTCATGCATCCAAAGTTCTCTTGAACTTCCTGCATGGCAGTGTGCCTCAAGCTTTTCTTAGTGTTGCACCGCTCGAGAACAGCATTGAACACACTGCAAGACCAGCCATTCCCTGGGCCGAGAAGCCTGTTTGATGCTGACAGCAACATGTGTTCCAACCGTCGACGCCAGATTCAAATCGAGACTTTGTGATGAGCAACTGCGCTGACCTGGGCCAAAGCAGCTGTTGGCGCATGCGCTTTCGGAATCTCCGAGTCGAGGACGAACCACGCGCAACACGTTTCGACCCAAGAGGAGCAATGCACAGGGAGTGTAACATTCTGTGTCTCAAGTAAAGCTGGCAATGCAGGTACACAGTGAAGAATAGTTCGCTGCAACACAAAACAGAAAGCTGGCCCTGCCGGCCTCGTGAGCGCGTGAGCGCGGCATGGAAGCGGTGGACTCACCTATGACAAGGCTTTAGCAGACTCGTTTAGAGAATTAACGGCACGGAGGTCTCAATCTTGGAACCGTCTTGCGAGTTGATGCCACATGTAGGATGTCAGATGCTGCAGTGTCACTACTTACCACACCTTGTGATACAATTGATACATTTGGCTGTAAATGGGGTGGCAAACCCTCCAGGCTAGTTGCTTGCACTTCAGATGTCTGGTCATTGTCGCCGAAGACCAAAAGCAATCCAATGACCATGATTTAGCATTGTCAATAGCCTATGTGGGTTAAAGCGGAAAGAGGAGAGCTCCCACAGAAAATGCAGACTTTGAGTCGCATTGAGGCTTTTTCAATGCTGAGGTCCGCCTACAACACCACTGGTCAAATTGGCACAGGTTCCAATGTGCTTCCTGCAGTAGCCGAACATGAGGTTGCCAATGTTTGGCAGCGAGCAACGGAAAGCCAAAGACACAAAATGCCAACAAACAGCAAGGCTATTGAACAAGTGTTAAAGTGTGTTGACTGGCTTAGCGTATGCCTGTCGTCCTCGCTGTACCCCCAAGGTATTCACAAATCATTCTAGTTTACAGCACGGTTCAGAACTGCTATGAGGGCCTGCTAATATACGGAATCATATCTCAGCTCATCCAGTCAACATCTCCGGGCACACCGTTTCCACACTTGATGTGTGCCATACAACCTGTGAATGCGATGTGTTGATCTCTCTTTGTATTTCAGGTGAGACACACAATGATGAAAACTTTTAGCATTTGGGGGTTTGGCGTGAAAAGAGAAAAGCTGCAGGCAAGATGCGGGCTGTCTGCGTTGGTCAGAGAAAAACTGCAGGGTGGGCAGGCCCCTGCTCTGAAGAAACGCCTTGATTACCTGGGCCCAGTCACTATTGGCCTTCCAAAGGTGCTCACGTTTCTGAAAACATTTGCCCGGGACAGTGCTGTACAGTTAGGCAAGCTCAGAGAGAGACAAAATTGTGGTGGTTAGAGGATAGGGAATTTCATCCTCCAAAAAAATCTGGCTTAAAGTGATGAGGTTCTCAAGTTCACCACAACTTTCAACAAGCTGTGCAAACGTCGACGGGAGACGAGCGGCAACATCATTCCAGGTGAGGAGGACCAGCAGGACTCTTGCTCAATCTATTGAGATTCACAATAGGGTTCTGATAAAGGTTTGGGTTCACAATGCATACCTGATTTGTGTTTGAGCCGAAGTCCAAGGCCATGGGAAATGCCTTTTTGTACCACGGCTCGCTGTCCAGCTGCGCCCCTAATCTGGATATTCCAGGTCTCTGGGACTTGACAAATGCATGTGGCTTCCCGCCTGGAGATAATGGTCCAGACTTGGTGGCAACATTCCATCAGTGGGATGTGAGTGGCACGGGTGAGATCACCTGGAATGATTTCGTGCGTGAAATGACGACGCGTGTCAACGATCCTAGCCATTTCAATGCTGATCCACTCCCTGAGACGCTGGACATGATCTCTATTCCAGATGCGCCTTTGGGTGATGGCTACAAGGACCACATGAACGTTTACCACGCCTGTGACGATGATTACGAGGAATATGATGATGACGGTGCAACTGCGCCAGCGCCCGAAGAAGCGATCGATATGTATGCAGCCTTTACGGATGGCAGCTGGAAAGATGTGCTTGCCGGCATAAAGCCCACAGAGGATGGAGGCACGGACGCTGCAGATCGGAACGTGCTGATGGGAGTCTAGCTGTCAGGAGGTCGGGAATGAAGGAATGTCGCTCAGCATGAGCATGTTGGTTGCGCATATGGTTGCAACGTGCTTTTTCTGCTTTTTACTGCATCTTCTGCCAGGCCTTCTTTCCGGGCCTGGCTCTTACTTGACTCTGCTTTTAGTGTACCAGCAGTTCCCAGGGAGCCCCAAGGTCTTGAATTTCGGAATCGCCTTTAACAGAACCGTGCCAAAAATCGGAAGGTCTGTCGTATCCTTCAAGTCATAGTCAGATTGTCGCTCAGAGTATTCCAATTTGATGTATGTTGCAAGGAGTGCTGGTGATGTGGAAAACACATGAAACCCTGGTGAACCAAGGCCCTGGGGCGAATGCATTGCAGCTGCTGTCAAAGTGGAGTGCACAGAGGATTTGGGTTTATGAGAGCAAGAAACTACAGTATTGTTGTGAGTTTTGGGACTCCTGTTCTTTTTATTGATGTAGGCATTGTCCGTTGCTTAGGAGAGAATTGGTTATGAGGCAATTTTTGAGAAACCTCAGGTATAGATAGTACAGCAACTAGACGTGACGCGCCCCCTGCAGTCCTTCGGCTCTGCATTCAAATTCTTCAAAAAGAGGATCCCCCTATGTGCGTGCGCCCTACCATCAGAGTGTTCGCATTTGCGGATGCCCAAAAAGGATGCAGAGCGTCGGGAAACAAGGTCCATACACAAAATTTGCAGTCTCTACAGCTTGGGGTGTCTTCTGGATGTCGGGCCAGGCTGCGCACTCTCCCTGAAGGACTGGCAGGGCCGCTTTGATGATGCTCCGGTGGGATTGGTGCAGCCCTCACTCGATCATCGGTGGGTATATCTTGCTTTGTGACCAAAAATGAGGGGCAGCTCTTCGTACAAGAAGCAAGTGCTGCCCAATAATAATGCAGGTTTACAAGTGTCTCTGATCAGATCTAAGTTTGCTTGCCTGAAACTGTTGGGTAATGCAGCACTGCAATGGCTCGCGTGAAGAGGCTCGATCTTGCCGAATAGTCCTGAGATTTAACAGACGTCTAAACCCCAAAGCCAAGTCAAAGGCATTGAGTTGCAAGTAAGTGATTTCTCAAGGTGGCCCATGTGTGCCCTCTGTTAGAGCAGCAACTGGCAGGTGATTGACTACATGTGTTCACTGGGCCACGAAGCCTTGGCTGGCATGGCGGAACAGAAGGAACAGGCCATTGGGGCCTCGGATGTCGCTAGCTTTCCGCAAAATCTGCTAGCCGTTGCAGGTCGCACTGAAATCTTGTTGCAGACTATGAAATTATTATTCAAACAGGTTCCCCACGTTGAGAACTGCCACAAGGTGCGCTCAACCAATATGAGGACCCACGAACGAAGGATCCCCAATTTCTAAAAATCACCTGGTCTTGCATTCCTGGACCCGAAGCATCCAACGCTCCTTGCTCTGGTATGTAGGTAGTAGTCTCTAAGCCCAACTAACTGGGTGGTCTAAAGTTTTTCAAGGGTCAAGCGAGGTTTCAGGCAACTGCTCGGTTTCTACATGATTTTTCATGGCGTTGTGCTGACCTACTTGTGCCGCTTCATCGGTGATCTTGCGAGGCCTGCAAAGCAGCTCTGTGAGTGGCATGTTCTAAAACCAGGAACAGCCACAGCCATTCATCGAGTCCTTTGATGCAACATAACATGCAGATTGTATGAGTCATCAATTCTACCTGAAACTCGAATCCCACTTTTTTTCCTTGTGTGTCCCCGTAGAAGGACTCGCTTCCCTTTATTTATGGCACAGACAGTTTCTAGCGCACCTGACGCTGGAAGCAGCCTGGACCGTCCTGAATGAGGGTTGATTCCCAGAGTAGGGAATCGTACGTTTGACCTAGACGGATTCCTCGCCGCTGCACTTCGTAAAAGTTCAACCTGTCTCCTTTTGACAGGGAATAGCTGTAAGTGCTTCTGCTTCAAGCAACAAACCACTGCAGCACGTCTCATTGGAAGTTACCTTCTGGTTCTCTACAACAGGACATGAATGATGGAAGAAGCAGCTGTTGCTTGAAGTCATATGATACTCGAGTGTATCCTGGGCGCACGCATAATTCAAGTTTGTCAAGAGAGGCTTCAACATTCACGAATCGCAGGTTTGCCCGGTGGCCCCATGTTTCATGGTGTGTTACCTGTAGTCGTGAGGATGGGCGCCTCGTGCCATAGTCCGTCAGCAGCATACTCTCTTTGCTCAAGAGAGACACAGAGGGAGGGAGAGAGAGAGCGAGCTCTTTTACTTGTTTGCGGATTTGATTCCAGTCCTCCTCGAGGCTCTTTTGAAAAGAATCCCTGAGAACTATTCACACCGACCTCTCCTGACAACTCCTCAAGGGGGGCTTCAACGGCCGGCGCGCGAGCGCCACCCCTTGCCGAAGCCCCTTTGAGGAAGGCTCCAGACGTCACCGGACACGGTAGAGAAATGGTGGTACCATATGGCCGAGCCCGGTTTGGTGACCCCATTTAAAGCATCCGTGTGAGACACTTCCCGTTTCAGGGCTAGGAATCTCCCTTCTGTCACCCCATATACGCACAGCCTTGTCCTGAAAGATGTGCGTGAGTCTCTTGTTGTTCTAGATTGGTGACTCTTGTCCCTAGGAAATGGCCTGCTGTACGTTTCCCAAGCAACACTCCCCAAAAAGCATAGTCCCCCTAAAGAAACTATGTTTTGTGCTGGTGTCGAAATATGACATGCAAGCATTGATCCTCTTCATGTCTGCAGCCATTTCAGCCAAAGACCCTGAAGTCATATGTGCAGCATGTATGATATACAGTAGTAATCACCTATAGTAATAGCTTTAATTTTCAGATCTCTTTTCTGTTTTCCGTTGTTCGCGTTCCTGTGTGGAAAAAGGGTTGTAGCGCATGTGGTTTCAGGTGGGCCCGCCGACCAGTGATAATGTGAGACTCTCCCTGCTAAAGTGCTGGGGGATGCTGTCCGTTGGTCTGCCGCTGGCAGGGGGCGTGAGGAAGTGTTCCATATAATCCTATAATCCTAACGCAAAGCCTGCACTGGAGGCAAGACTTCTGACTTTAAGTCATGGCTGGCTTCACAGCAGCAACAGCCGTGAGCACCAGAGCTCACAGCAAACCATAATATTGGTCATCCTTTTATCCTCGCTTGTTTTGGGACCCTTGCCCCAAGACGCCACATCCTTCCTTCGCGACGGCCAGTTTTCCTGCATGTCTCCAACATGGAGCTGCCCATCGTCACAAAGTCGTGCGATGCGTGGTTCGTAATTAAAACCCTGACGTAATGCGAGCTCCTATCCAAGATTGAACTTTTGTACAGTAGTTTCAGTTAGGAGTGGCCCGGACCTGACTGCTACTGCAACCCGGGCCTTGAATCAACTTAAGCTCAGTTTGGTGGAGCCTTTGAAGCTAGTCTCCTTAAAGTCCACGCACTGAATTAGATCTTTGAACCACCAGTTCGCACACCTCACTTAGCACTGATGCAGGCCGGCCAAGCCGGTAAACTATGGAAATGCACATGGGAGGGGTTCTCTGAGTTGGATAGTTCTCTGCTGCTAGCCAGCCGGGCTTGCAATCCAAAGACGCCTTAGTTTTCAAGCCCCGGACTCCCAAATGCCAAAACGTCGATACCGCCTGCATCCTCGAGCATGTCGCTGCCCTCACAATTGTCTGGGCTCGGCTCGGGATTAGGCTAACCAAAAGGAGGATAAGGCCACCAATAACGATGGCAGTGTCTGCTTTGAGGTTTTGAAAATGCTTGTCCAGTAGTGTCTATACAACAAAGTCCGCAATTCTTGAAACCATTGGCTCAAACCGTGTGAGATGAAAAAGCTTTGTCTGCCGCGCTTCAGAATTTACGGCGACTATGTGCACCAAATCGCAGCAGGTGCAATTCACAGAACGTTTTAACAGGATTTGGTCGGACCGCAACCTTCGTTACTCCCCGCATGGTTTGGGAGATAGCTTGCGTAATCAGAAGTGTCATGTCGGCTTCATGGCTCCTTTGCTTACTGGTTGCATCCAACACATCTCTCTCCCGCGCTGGTCCAGGGCTGGCCTGGGTGGGCATCAACGGCGGTTTCAGTGAAGACTACTTGGACAACAAAGGACGGCTGTGGCATCATACCAAAGATCCATGGACGCCCTCAAATTGGGGTGGATGGTTAGGATCAGAACCCAGGGACTACTCCAACGCATGGGGCACGGTCCGGATGAAGTGCAAGAATTGGCCGCCGGACTATGATGAAGACTATGAGGCTCTTCTGCATCATTACAGCATAGAAACTGGAAACAACCAGACCTTCCGCGTCAATCTTCAAGACCCTACGGAGACCGTCAGTTATTACACAGTGAAGTACAATTTCTGTGAGAAGCAGTGGCATGGCGGTGGCAAAATGGACATCCTGATCAATGGAAAGGTTGTGAAGAAAGACTACATCACCAAATGCCACCACACCCGCACGGACATCTATCATTTTAAATGCGTTCCAACCCTGGCCGGTATGATAGAAGTCAGTATCCAAGGAGATCCAAGCGTCAAAGGAGGACATGAGTTGCTGAAGATTTTTAGTTGCCATTCATTTCCCAATCATCATAGGCTTCCATGGTCTATGATTTTCCATATGTGTTCAGGACAGGCGAGATTCTCCACCTTGGAATTTGAAAAATCTCAGGATGGCTGTGGTGACTGTGATGGTCTGCTTTGTGGGAAACGCGGGTTTGCTTGTGACTGTTTTGTGATGTTTTCTTGGCCATTGCTCGCGGGCTACATTCTTATGATGTGTCTTTTGCGCATGCCAGGAAAGGTTTCTGCAGCTCTTCAACTTTCTACGATGTTTCGTCGAAGTGTGACTTCGGCAACGAGGGTATGGTCAATGAGTTCGAGCTTGAAGAAGCCCAAAGCACTGCACCAGCCTGTGCATGTGACCAGAACCTGGGCCAAAGCTTGGAATTCTTTTGGAGGAGTTGCAGAAGTTTCTGTGTGCCAGAGTGAGGAATGTAAATGGCCATCAGTGTGAGTTGGGCGCATGTGCCACCGTTGCTTGCAACGAGCCTCTGGGTGGCTTCTGTGTTGAAAATGGCCAATGTCACTGCATCGAGGGCCACTCCGGGACTCATTGCGAGGCATTGCTCTGGTTCTCAAAAAGGGCTTCTTAAGTGCTTCTTAAGGGCTCAAAGCAGTCCCTGGATTTCAAGTGTTTCTTCGTTTCTTCGGTCAACTGTTGAGGTGGCACCTGACGTGGACAAGTTTGGCTGCTATTCTCGTCATGAGGAGGCCTGTCAGTCTCAGGAGGAAGGCATGTGCAACTGTCTACAGTCTACAGTTCAAGCGAGGTTCCGACAGCGAGCTAATAGGGCAAGTGAATTCAGACCACTGAACAGGTTTCAGATTACTTGGCGGTCTCTACAATATGCATGCCGGAGCTGATTGCAGGCCCAGCAAGGCAGGGTTGCCAACGTTGAAGTACTTCCTTAATGTTCCATGTTAGCTGCTCATGTGTTTCCTTGGTGGCTCCCTTCTTGAGTCAGAGGCATGGACACATCTTTCGCGGGCCCTCGCCGATGAACGCAGTGGCAGACCGGATCCAGTCCCTGGGCCGATTTGCGCTGGATACTGTTCCGTAGGCAATGACCGATTGATCTAGGAAATCCTACTCTCAAGCTAAGTCAGGGCCGACACTGTGTACTTCTCCTGGACAGCTGACTATGAGTATGGCAAGCGCGATGCTATGGGCGGCGAGGGACGTGTGTACGTGGCTCCTCATACATTAGCTCTCATCAGCTAAGCTCTTAAGTCTTTGGCCACATTGCCTCTATGCAACGTCTATGACACTATGCACGCCAAGGTCAGCAAACTCAGGACCCCATGGAAGCAGCAAGCCATCCTGGAAGAGAACCTCGCTTTTGATGGCTTCGCACGCGCCGGTGGCATCGATGTCACCGAGGATGGGATTGTCGGCACCCTCTGCGCTAAGTACTGGCATCCCTGGGTGGAGAACACAGGCAAAGGCACAAGCAATGCTGCCATGGTTTTAGCAGTCTGCGAAGTGAACGGTACAAGCATGAAACCTCACAGAACGCCTTGGCAAATCGGGAAGCAGTACCAGGCTGATGCAACGGTGCCAAACACAGGGATATGGGGGAGTTTCCCCTTGTCAGCCTGGTTTGCGCAGCGCTCAGCCGGTTATGGCTATCTGGTGTATTCTGCTGCGCACCAACTGTGGACGGCCTGGTATGGGGCAACGGTTGGCTCTCATACTGGCTTTGCCATGCATACCTACCATCGGGGAGCACCTGGAGTCAGTGAAGAGGAGTACAAGGAGTATGTCCATCCCGTGCCGCGCGATCAGGTGGAACCGCGTAAGGAGGCGTCCGGACCATGGAGGGACCACCACCGAACAGGCACAGGTGATCACCAGGCTTCAGCTGCTATGCGGTACCATCCCAAGCTTCAGGACATTGGGTTGCAGAAGCACACGCATGGGGCTGTGTACATGCAGCAGTATGGTCTGAGCACTCCCAAGGGTGCCTTTGCCCCGCCCGGCCACAAGACAGGGCGCCTGGAACTGGTTGTGGGCAACGACACTGGACTGCAGGCAAACGCGCTGAGACCCTGTGGTGAGGACTGGCTGGTGGCGATCATCGCAACTAGCGGCAACGTTTGCGCCAAGATCTCGCAACTCGGGGAGATCATCACCTGGCGAGTTGTCGAAGCGTCAGTGGGCAAGATGCCCTGTGGCTCCAACGGTGGCAACTGCGGAGACCAGGCGCCTGGACGGATGCTCCGCCTTGCCAATTTGGGGAGTCCAGAGCAGGAGGCCCGCTGCGGGCCAGATGCACGCTTTCTCCTGGGCTTTGAAAAGGAAGATCGGCACCTCGCTTGCACAGTTGCCCAGTTCTGAGCCATGCGTTGCACCGTTGCACCGTTGCACCGTTGCACCGTTGCACCGTTGCACCGTTGCGCGTTGAAGGTCGAGATGGCTTGTTGAGCTGGATGGCGACTGCAATGAAGTTTCAGAGAGGATGGATGTGACACGGCACACACATTGGCCTCTATACCAAGACTGGACGACAACGTCCGAAGGTGCCGTGGTGAGTCTCGGTTGCAGATGAGCAGGATCCAGGCTTGAGGTTTGCCCATAAGTGAAAAGACGCACGCAGTGAATCGAGCCAAGATGGGTTTCGAGCTGGCACGTTGATGCTGATGGGCGCTTTGGACCTCCTGGCAGCCCCAACGGTGTTTGGCCATATTCCCCAAAGCCTCAGAATGAGGAGGCAAGATGCTCTATCCAGCTTTTACCTGGATGGCTCGGTGTGTCGTGAACACGCAGTGATGGAGGCAGAGCACCTTTTCGGCCTCACGCCCGGCGCAACAAACGTTGCCAAAGTGACAGCGGCTGGCTGAGGAATTTCAACATGTACGCTTGATTGAGACGCGCTTCCGCAGCTGTCAGGTGTACTATCCAAGAACCATGCCGTCCTCCTCGACAACTACCACGCTTGCGGCGCTCTTGCTGTGTTCACCATTGCTGTTTTAAAGTGCGGTGTGCTAGCTTTTTGGTGTGCACCCCGGCACGCGACATGTTCTGTGAGGTGTCACTCGGCATGTACACATGTTCCAGAAATCGTTTGCCAGGTATCGACTTCCACGTCAGTCACGATTCCTCCAGATGTCAACGATTTCTTTCCAGCAGAGGGTCTCGACCGCGCTTGCCGTGGTGCAAATATTCAGGACAACAGTGCCAGTTACTACTCAGTGGTGACCGCATCCTCCTTGCAAGAATGCAGCTTGGCGTTGAGTGGTTGACTGGTGCTGTCAAACCTACGTGTCAGAAGCATGCCCACCGAGGTCAGCGCGCTTGCATCGGAGTGCCTTTGTGCACTGGAGTGGAGTATTCTTCAGGGCGCTGCGAAGTTTGGACACGGCCGGGAGGGATCCGAGCCACCAAAGCCCTGAAAGGCTTCAGCTGCTTGCGCTACGAGCCCCCTGGTGCCTTTGCCTTCTCTGCGCCTGATGGTGGCTTTGGACGTGCATGCCGAGGAGCGGACTCCACGGATAATTCCGCATCCTACATGGTGGTAGCGACCGCTGGCAGCCTCTTCGAGTGCAAGGCTCCGGGTAATGGAACTCCCTGAATGTGCCTTGGACTTGCGTAAGTCTCTGAGCAGCAAGGCCCTCTGCCTGAAGAACCCGGATTGCAAGGGCATTGAGTTTGGCTCTCACATGCGGCGCTGCGAGCTGTGGACTCGAGCGGAGGGCATTCAGGCTACTGAGGCCGTTTCCGGATTTACATGCTTGACTCGTTTGACACCCTTCCGGGCTTTGACCGGGGATGGCAACAATCAGGCCTGCCGAGGTGCACACAAAAGTGATAATTCCGGAGCTTACTACACTGTGGTCCCTGACGTTAGCCTGGATGCTTGCATGTGGTCCTGCGTCATGAGGGCGGACTGCAAGGGAATCGAATTTTCTTCTGGACGCTGCGAGGTGTGGACTCGCCCTGGAGGTATTGAGGCAACCCTCCCACTCACTGGCTTCACTTGTATGCTCTACACGCAAACAGCCTCATCTCCAGCAGCACTGAACACAAAGTCCCGTCGCCAGCACTTCTTGGGCCCTGCCTTTCTGCAAAAGACTTGGAAGCCCTTCCGAACAGCGCTGCCGCCACAGGCAGGAGGCACTGAGCTCTAAGTCCCAGACTGCAGTGCAAACAGTTTCGTCTCGATGGTCACAAGTGCCTGACAGACTGACTTCTTGCATTGCCATGTTCCGAATTGTTGCACACTCTTGCATGATGTACAAGTAGGGGACAGCTGTTCCAGTGTGTTTGGCTTCTGTTAGCCGTTAGCCTGCCCTGCACCATGTAGGAAAGGCAGTTGACAGATGACAGCTTCCACACGGCAAGTAGCATGAGGAAAGGCGCTATTCAGTTGCCAGTTGGCCGCAGCTGTTCGCCATGAAGCCACAGAAGTCTCGGAGAACCTAGAGCCAGGCTGATAAATCGTATCGTTTACTTGATTGTGGCATGCGCGCTGACTCACGAGTCTGAGAAACCGGACCTAGCGATTTATCCTGAACTCAAGAAGAGCACACCTTCTTTGGCCATAACTTTTTTTTCCTCTAGGCTTCCCTTTGATGTTTGCAATACGCAAATAGCTTTTGGAGGGCTTGGCTTCAAAACTGCTTTGGGCCCCAGAGCTGGGCGGAGCTTGGGGATGTTCCAAGCGCGTGTGCGTGTGTGTGAACTGACCGGTCACTGGAGGTTAAGGCCCTATGCAAGAAGATGCTATCGATTCCTGGGTTCAGCTGGCAATTCAACTGCCAGATTTGGATTCGAGCGCAAGTCTTCAACAATTGTGACGAGCACACCTAGCCCCTGGAGGCATGCAAGCACCATGTCCACGTTAGCGCGGAGGAGCAACCTGCGTTGGATAGAAATGAAAGTGGCATTACCATGCAGTGCAGGACGTAGTTGGCAGGCTGGTCTTCAGTGATGTTCAGCTCACCCCTCTCAGCTCAGTTCAAGCCGCCATGCTCCCACCAAACTTGCAAGGGCTTGGACTCTAGGACTGGAGGATACTGGAGGGTTGCCAATGCGGGCTGCTTGCGGCGAGTGCTTTGGCTCTAGAGTGTGCCCGGCCCACCTTGCGGCTCACAAAGAGGCCTGTCACGTTGCTCCGTTGCTGCGTCAACGACAGTGACTTGCTAATCCAGCAGGCGCAGCACGATGTGTTGAAGGCCTCCAGGTGGCGTGAGCGTTTCATGCGAACGGTTGGAACTATTAGGGTGAGTTGTGGAGTTGCGTTTCGTGCCCAGGGGTCGCCCGGAGGATGGCCGCTGATGGACGGGTGAGAGCTGTAGGGCGCACGCTCCTCGCCTCCCTGTCGCAGCCTAGCCCTTGGATTGACTGCTATGGGTGTGGATGCAAACTTTCCACCTTGTCAGGCAGGCGCCATCACCATCCGGGACGTTGAGAACCAGCAAGGAGGCTGCGTTTGCCTCAGCCGGTGTTGCTTGAGCCACGCCACGTTCTGCCTCTAGGACAAGGCCGGTGATCTGAAGGCCAGTCTGACAAGCCGCAGGGAACCATTCACAACACAACAAATCAGCTTCCAGGCCCATGACCTGGTTACCGTCCGGAACGAGGCACGGGCGGAGCGGGCGCCGTCGCGAGCTTGGGCCTCACGGAGGGCCACGAAAAAGCTGCAGGGCCTTGGGTGCACTTTTGTACAGCTGTGCGGCAGCCCAGGGACTTCCAAACCAAGTTCCCACGCCAGCCGCGCAGAGGAGACTGTCGAGGCGGCATTTGAGACTGAGCCAGCTGGCTGGAGAGCTTGAGAGCCTGCCAGGGCACGCGAGGCTGAAGACCAGCCCGTCGGGGGCCACAAGTTCAGTGATCATCTGTTGCTACCTTCGCCTTTGAAGTCGGCCCAGGAGCTCTCGCGTCGCCGCGATGTGAGCTCTTCAGGTGCACAGGGTAAGCAAGTCGCAGAGCCTGACGTTATCACGCTTTCAGCAACATAGTTTTGAATGAATTGACCGGGAAGTAGGCATATGACAAAGAAGAATAGGAAGGCAAATGACTTGCCCCGGTCCTTGTCAAGCGTATAACTTGTATAACCTATACAACGTCTGATGTCAACTCATCGTCAACTCGAAGCTGTCATGCTTCACAGGCAGTCATTCAAAACAGCGCAAGTTTTACTGCAGCTCTGCTTGTAAGCAAGGCAATCTGCGACATTGGAAACGCATATGTTTCAAACTGCATGGGGCACATGCAAGGTTGATCCAAGCTAGATCTGTAGAGATCAAGAACCAAGATAATCTTCATATTATGCTCTGCATGAGTTCTGGGTAATTCCACACAGCCGCGACGCCAGGCACCAGCTACCGGGGCTCAACGCGCCCGCAGCGCCGAGGAAGCCTCCAAGAGCCCTTTCCTTAGAGATGAGAGGAAGAGCTTAAATTAGGCTTCACGACGCATAGAAGTCGTCTGAAATCAGTATTTACAGCAGGGACGTCATGCGATTGGCTTGCAGTTTGCCAGAACAACTGAAACTGCATTGAAACCGTTGCGAGCCGCAAGCAACCAGCATTTTCCAAGTTTCAAGTGCATAGGGCTTGGGGACCTAAGCGGGCTTTCCGTGGCTCTATTCTTCTCAATGTTGTTGTCCACATGGAAGCCCTGTTTAGTTTCGGTGGCACAGGCGTGCAGCGGCTTTGGATCGGATCGCTCAGGCCCTGCATTTGCCATGCACGCTCTTGCACAGAACATGCATTATGCTCACCATGCAGAGCCTCACGCCAAGTCCTTCTAAACTCCTTGGAAGTGTTTTCGAGTTAGGCTAGAGATTTCCAACTCTTGCGGTTCAAAGGCGTGTCCTCACCACCAAGCTATCATTTGTTTCAAGGGATTGTCACCAAGTGCGCAGCAGAACAAGGATACACAAGCAGACTTGGATCGAACACCGGCGGTGAGTAACGGGCTCTGTTTGATGGGATTGGATTGGTCCCGAATGATCCTAATGGCGAGCGGGCTAGAGGGAGCTTCATGGCCTTCAGTCCTTCATAGATTCCACATCTCCCGGATTGCTTTTGGCAATGGTCTTGAAGGGTTGGTTCTGGGCCTTGCAGCCCTTCGGCTTTTGCTAGAAACAGAGGCTCTTCAGACACGTACTGGATCCACTTTCTAGTTAAGATGGCCAAGAAGCTGTGGCCCTCCGCTCCAGGCACCACCAAGCCGGCAAAGGCACAGAAGCAGAAGCTGAGTGTTTCTGCATGCTTTTGCTGTGCTTGCTGTGCAAGCCCTTCTAGCTTTTAAGCATTTCTGCAAGGCCGGCCAAAGCTGTGGGCAGGGCCGATCTCTCAGATCTCTCAGAGAGGATGACATTATTTGGCTGCACCAGAGCCACCAAGGCGGTGCCAAAGACCACGGCGACTCTCTGCAGGCAACATTAAACCTGCTATGAAAGCCTCATGCTTGCGGCTTGTGGCTGCAGCCAGGGCAGCATCTGAAGCGAACGCCGCGTTCCGGGCGCACATGGAGGAAGCTCGACGTCTTGTGAAGAGGGAACCGGGGCTGTTGGAGCCGTGCAGGACAGCTCCGTGGCCATCGACCCGCTTCTGGTGCGAAACTCGGGGTCATGCTTCCAGAGTGGCTTATCAGTCAGCTTGGAGGTGGAACAGGACGGTGAAGTCTGGGGCTACTTTGCGGTTTATGACGGCCATGGCGGGCGACAGGCTGTGGATTTCTGCGAGGCCCAGGAGAGGGAGTCTGCTGGAGGGTTCTGGATGCGCCACTGAATCGTCGGAGGCAAAGCTACATGGTCTTGTGCTTGATGAGCTCCTGAACGTTACCAGGCGCAGTGCGCACAGGCTCGTGCTGTACGCGCCAAAGATCAATTGGTTCAGGATGGCGGGCGAGACTGTGGCTGATGATGTGGTAGCCGAGGTGCTTTCTAGGCGCATGCGCTAGATCCCTCGAAACATGGCCATGTTTGGAAAAGACCTCGTTGCAGGGCCTTCCGCAGGGTGGATGAGCAACTCAAGCTGGGCACGTGGCACAGCACACAGGCCGCCATGGCTTGCTTGCTTGGTCCGAGGCTGCTGGGCACCTGGCGGTGTGGTTGCACTGCCACTGTGGCCTCAGGCTCAATTACCAAAGCTCGGCTTGAGTAGAAGCTTAGTTCATGCACCCCGAACTATGTGAGGCTGGGAAGTGAGCGGTTTGCGGGGGTTGATTGGTTTCGGGAGAGCTTGGATCACTGTTTCGAGTCCTGCCGGGAGAAACTGGACCAATGCCGCAGCTGATGCAAGCCCGCAAACCTAAATGCGACCTCTTGGCGCAGGGGGTATCACCGGAGAAGTGTTTTTTTTGGGGTTCCCACCGGATGCTTGGAGACGCGGGCATGTGATGCTGCCGATGCAGGCTTCCTCAGGCCTGCGCCCTTCATGGGTTGTCCTGGGGGGAAGGGGCAGGTCAGAGAGGGGGGCTTGTCGGGGCTTGATCAAGCTCGGGTATGGCATCACCAGCTTTTTGCGCCTGCCAGCCTGCATCGAGTTGGGTCCAGCACATGCAAGCGCCCAGCTGCGCCTGCAGGCAATAATGAATTGAGGTGCTGGCCCACAGGACCCTGACGGGATTGCGACTCCACGCACGCTCCTCAGATGCATTCGCACCTTTTACTGCAGCATACTGCAGCCATGCTTGCTGCTCTTGTAACAGCAGGAAGTCTTGCAGTCTCTTTTTTTTTGGGCCGCTTGAGCCAGCAATAGCAAGGCCGCGAACGTTGGGGACTCCCGTGCGATTGTGATTGACTCTGGCAGCCTGTTGCCGAGACACTCTGCCGTCAGTGGTTGAGCTTTGGTAGAGGAAGTCAAGCGTCTCTGGCTCTGCTCGAGAAAAGCCGTGGGTCATGTAGAGAAAATTGTGTGAACACTTTAGTTAGCCCCATGAGCTTGCTCAGGTACAGCAATGGACATGGGGCGCTGAACGTTCTCAAACCTACATTGAGTATTGCTATAAAATGACATTGGCCGTTTTCATCACGCAGTTGCCAGGAGAAGCCCTGATAACACCCACGAGTTCTGGAGTAGTTCTCCAAGTGAAGAAAGCAGCGCTGGACTCAGGCGAGTCCCGGCTAACTCGTGACCACAGGCACCGAACGGGTGTAGAAGCTGCCACTGATGCTTGGAAGTTTTGTTTCGGTCTCAGGTTCTAAAAAAAGCGGTATGGCGAAACGGGCTTTGCAGCTGCACAGAGGTTGTAGTAAAACCGCTTCATGCGTGTCTTGACCCAAGAAGAGAGGCTGTAAGGAGCTTGATACTAATGGCTCACTGTTGCAAGGACACTCTCTAGCCTGGCAGCCCACAGGCAGCCTTTTCCTATACAACGGGCCAAAGGAACATGCTGCAGAAAGACAAACAGGATTCAACAAGCGAAGAGGGCAGCATGCTGAAACCGAATCATGACTGTGCATCAGGTTAGTTATGCATAAAAGAACCCAGAGCCCACCCACCTCCCTTGTTAATGGATGGCACTTGGCTGATTTTAGCCAAGTGGTGGCAGAATTTCGCGAAGGTCTGCTGATTGAACTTGGTAGCTCAACGAAACATCGAAACACCTTGGAAACATCTTTGGCACCACATGCCAATCGCGTTTGAGAGTTGCCTGGATGTTTAGAGAGCTTGATTAAACTTGCTTGAAAAAGCACACTGCACGTTTGGCAGACACGTATGCAAACTTCTGGCGTTCCAGTTTGCAAAGGGTTGCCTGAATGGTATGGCGCGTCTCAGTTTTGTTGTATCCTATTCTGCCCAAACGGTCAGCGAAGAACTCCAGCTCTGTCCTAAGGTTAGTTGGGTTCTGCCAGCTATGCCTGTGTAGCTGCACAATTTCATCTGAGATGAGCGCAGTGAAAACTGAACGGGGGTGGCCGCCCTGAGGCAGCACAATCCCATTGAATGTCTGGATGCCAACTATTCAAAAAGAAGCGAGTGCCCTCTGAGGTGCCACGTTTGGCGATAGTCAGGCCATCATCTATGTAACCATCTCAGGATCTCAGTGAAGTGCCAAAGGGAGGAGGATTCCATACAATGAGTGCGGAATTCATCATCCAGTTCAGCGAGATATACGTAAGCGAAGACCACTCCTGCTTGCAGCCCTATAGGACCCGTTTTTAACTGCCACACAACTTTCTCAAAGGAATGAACTGGAACTCGAAACGTGCTCCTGCGAGACGCGCTACGGTGAGGACAGTAGCAGGTTCATCTCGGGCCTGGCGGACATGGGTTCCTTGTGTATTTCCACTTTGAGCCTGAATCATCCCGCGACTGAAGAATGAAAAGTGAACGATGCTGGGATGATGCCACTGAAGACGGCTTGCGAGAAGCTGTCCGGGGAAACCTTGCTTCATTCATCTTTAGGGTACAGGTATCGAGGCTTTGGCGAAAAGCTTCAGGCAAGTATCCCAAACCAATATATCCACGATATCGCCACCACAATGTGATCACGGTGTTCATGTAGCCAGGCATGGAGAGACTTCTTCACTTATCCACTATGGACTTGTTTGATCTTCGGGCAAGCACATGATCCTTAAGAAAACGGATGTGTCGGAGTTGCGGGCAAAGCTGAGGTTGCCTTATGCTTCTCTTAGCGACAGTTAGTACTCGCGGAACTCTGAGCACCTCTCAGCGCTCTGGGAGCTGAAGTGCGCTGCATTGCTGCAATGTGCAAGGAATGTTCTAAACGCTTGACTTCGGCAAGGCCTTTCTTTACGGAACTGGGTTGTCTATCAGCAAGTTTGCCACCACGTGAAAGATATGCACGGACAAACACAGGAATTTTGAGGCTAGGGTCACATCTAATGTGAGCAGGAGTATTGAAGCGACGTTCCAGCTGTGCAATGGAAGTATGTCTCAGTTTGAACCTGACAATTGCATCAAAATCAATACTGAAGCCAGGATTCCAAAAACTCATCCGCCTCGATCTCCGAAACAGTAGTCAGGATCTGGCGGGTCCTGGGGTGTTTTTGCGGAAGTGCACCTGCTTACCAAACTTCTGCTGAGCGGCATGCTCTCCCTTCTTGCTGTCACGTCTGCGTCCATGACCTCTGTTGATCGGATTTCGGTGTGGATCGGGGCCGTGGATTTCTTCGAGGAATGCCGGGAAGGTGCTTGCGATGAGCTTCATGAGCCACGCGAGGACGCTCTGACTGAGGACGAACGGCCACGTTGTGCGATGTTTGGAAACTCCTTGAAGGGGTTCTCCTGGCCAAACCTTCATGATCTTTTTTCTTGGACTTGGGCTTCGGAGTCTTGGTGACGTGGGGATCCTGCACGATAAGGTGATGCTTCTCAGCAACATCAGGGTGTTGCTTGATGAGGTATGCCAATGCACTTGTACTGGATGCTTGGCTGCATTGTCCTTGGATGGTAAAACCTCTCAAGCACTGCCATCGCTAAGAGCTGTTGACGTCCATCAGCCTCAAATTTGCTTCAGCTTAGAGGAATGTTTCTTCTGCTTGATTTTCTGGGCACGCTCTGGTTCCTGCTTAGCTCTTGCTTTCAGCAACTCTTTGCGGAGAGCAAGCGCTTCCATCGAAGCCCGTACTGAAGCAGTGAAGATTCCATCACATTGATCGAACCAAGATTTAAGCGTATCGGAGAGCTTCTGAAGTTGGACGCTTGTACTGGCTTGCTCTGAGAAGAAGTTGGCACACTGTCGCTGATATACAACGACGAAGGTTTGGCGCTCGCAGGCATGGCGTTTCCGCGGCTGTGCCTGCCTCACAGATGTCGAAAGGTGTCATTCCATCTTCTTGCATCTTGAAGTGGTACATCTGCCCTTCTGCTGGGACAGACTTGCACTCTGCGAGCTCCTTCGCGTGCGCTTTGAAAGCTTATGGCCACTGCCACTCCTTAGTGGCTTCCTCAGCCAAAGCTCTTTGCAAGTCTCCGGCCTTCTTGATGTCTGGATACTTCATTTGAAGGTCTGACTGCATAACGTGATGTTGCAACGTGGCCTTGCACTCTTTCATCCACTCTATCAACACCGGCTTCAGTAAGTCAGGATCTACACAATTTAGTACCTTGAACGGATCCGAGTACTGCTGTGTACTGGCTTGCTTCTCCTGCAAGAATGCCAGCTGCTGTTGCAACAGCAAGGTTTGTTGCTGCTGAGCAAAGGGCAGGTCTGCTAAAGTGACTGTCGGAGCGGCCTGGGATGTAAGAAGGCCTGGGGGTACAAGGTGTGTTCTGGCAGCGGGTGTGCTGTAGCGCTCACTGGGAACACGCTTCGGTGAAAGTTGCCTACTTTGGCTCCTCTGCGGAAGTGGTACTTCGAAGGCTGTGGGACGTGGCGAAAGTGCTAGAAGCTGCTTGCGGGCCCGCTTTTGGAAGGACACTCTCCAGAGCAGCCCGCAGGCAGCCTTTTCCTAGGACTCAAGCGATCTGCTACGCGTTTCGCTCACACAGAGCTTGTTCGAGCTATGTGCCAAAAGAAAAAATGCAGAAAGACAAACAGGATTCAACAATCGAATAGGGTCGCATGCTGAAGCCGAATCATGACTGCGCATCAGGTTTTATGAATAAAACAGCATAATATACCAGAACATGCTATAACATAGAAAGTCGTCCCCTATGTAATCCCTTGTGTAACCTCCTTTCTGGAGTTTAGATTTTGCGGGCAGGCCCACCGATCCCGCCGAAATCCAGCGGGTCGAAGCCGAAGGCTGCACTTGTGGCTGGAGTCCGATGCCGCAGATGTCACAAGTTTAGGGGTTTAGGGCTTGGGGTTTTACCGCTTTAGGGTTTTAGGGGCTTAGGGTTGTCAGAAAGCACCAACGGTTACAACATTCAGCAAACTAACATATAAGCAATCGTCATCAAAACAACAGCGACCAGACGGATTAGAAGCAGCCAAACTAACTCATGTTTCCCAACTCAAGAAAGGATAGCCGTAGCAATAGGACATGTCGTGCCGCCAGTCAATTTTTAGGAGGGACCCCTAGAAGGGATCCTCAATCCCACTACGCACCCCACATACGTGCTTAAAAGGCCCTTCTCTATCTAGGTGGTCCCCATACGAAGCCCGCATCAGATATCAAGGTGCCCATTCATGGTCCCTTCCAGAGCCCTATAACCAGCGACTTCTCAACAATTCTGTCGAACGATGCAACAGATACTGACCAGCTGACAGAAAAAGGCCAGGCAGCATTGATATGCGGCCGACTGTGTCCCTAAGCTGCTGAATGCAGGTGGCTTCGTGGCTCGAGGCCGCGTCGTGGGCTGCATCCTTGGCTTCAGGGTGTGAGGATTTCGGTAGAATTTAGGGCCTGGCGGCAGGCGCTGCCCTGGCCGCTGCCCCCCTTGCCCACCCAGCTATCAAGTGAGAGCCAAGCCCACCCCAGCCCTGCTGATACTCCTGATAGAAAGAAGTGCATGAAAAAGTTATGTTCTCGTTACCTGTTTTTTTTTTTCAGGTGTTGAAAACCCTGTTCCCTCCAGTTTAACTGAAAGCGGCCCAAAATAGGGTCCCAGTTGTGCCGATGATGTTCCTGTACGAGGCGCGCGCGTGCCTCGTACAGGAACATCAGCTGCACAATTGAGACCCCATTTTGGCTTGATTGGGATCAGGAGGGGTCAAGAAGTCAAAAACCCAAGGAAAGCCATCAAAGATGACTTTAGACATGGTTCTCTGTGCAAGCTAACTATGTTCTAGCCCACAAGTGCATTTTTTGAGCAAATCAGCTCTATTGGCACATTTCACGCATTGCACAAGCTTAGGAAACACAAAATTGCTGGAAAAATGGCCAAAACAAACCAAAACCATGCAACATGCACATTTTATAGGGTTTGGTCTGGGCAATGCATGCCAAACCTGTCTCATGCTTGTCATACAGTGCAGATCCTACCAACACTGGTATTTACAGCCACAAACATTGCCCACAACGTGTATTTTGTGCGTTTTGTTGGGTTTATGGCGCATTTTAAGCACCCTGCAGCCCCCCAAGAGCCAGCATCATGAGCATCATGGGGCCTGTTTGGGCCCCCAATTTCCTTGTTGAAACCACACATAGGAGGCTTCAAGACCCCTCCACAACC